TGTAAACGTCCATATCACTTTTCAAACTTTTTGCCACCAAATATTATCGCCCTGTGTTATATTTAAAGAAATTAAATAATGAAGAATCTGCATAAATGTGTGTATGTATCTCGCATTGTGATAAAACAACGGTACCTAGACCCATCGAATTTTGAATAACGTAATCCTCTTCCGAATATGAACATCTGGAAGCATCTTGTTTTATTATCGATTTCCTATTTTGTAACAGTTTAACGAATTTTTTATTAAGAAGCTCAACGATTTCAAAGCGAGCAATAGCAACACTATAAAAAAATTATCTCCAGCGCGCGAAAAATTCTAAAGATATGCTCATTTTAAAATTATTTTGCGATATTGCTGTTGAATTGAATTTTATGGTTTAAGTGCGAAGAACATATTTAATAAATAAAGGTAACACAGAAAGCGTTAAAAAACGCCCCTTTGTGCGTAATGTAAAATCTGAAAGCTTTTAGATTTTTTTTTAGTAATTGTACAGAGTTTATGAATAATGCAAGATTAAACTGTTGTGGATAACAACAATTCTTAAATATTGTGAGAGCATCTGCCGCCGCTACTTTCATGTCAATCAATTTCACAGGTGCTATTAGTCTTAGGCCTTTCTTTTTGTGTGTCTGCATCCCTCTTTAAATGTTGCCATCAAATATTATCGCCATGTATTTTTAAAGAAATAATACAGTAACTACAAACAAAATGTAGATCAATACAATTAAAAGGAGATTGCCACCAAATGTTATAAATAAAAGAACTACCACCAAATATTATCTCTAAGTATTATTTTTAAAGAAATTATGTTGCGAATATAGAAAAAAATATGGCAACATTTAACATTTTGTCGGAAATTTTGAAGATTTCATTTCCATGCGCTAGTTTGCTGCGATTTGGCAAAGCCTAAAATATTTATTCTTTTTTTAACTCAATCTGCCCATTACTGATTAGAAGACTAAGCGTTTTAAATGTTGCAAAGGCAGTTAGTTCTGTATCTGCTTTTATTACTTACTAGCTATATCCATAAAATGACTATACCTGTATTTATTAAAAGCGTTATATATATATATATATATATTAAATCAAGTAAAGTAATTTGACGCAAAAGTGAGGTTCGAGAATAATAGCCCTTCTTGGCTAAAAATTGTATGGCGACACATTATCGGGAATTCAAAAGATAGACTGTTTTTAAAAATTTTGTGATTTAGGTTTTGAATTTTATGTAGCTAAATTTAAATTTGAAGAAAGTTATGTTTAATAATAAAGTTAAAAAGCCAAAAAGAGTTCTGACAGTAGTGTGGAGTTTTCCTGCTCCCTTTTTTTTTGGGGGGGGGGTAGCATACAACGTGGACTACGTAGAAGACGAAGTAGTGAATGCTTGTTATGTCTCTGAAGAATAAATACCGCAGAAGAAATTTTCAAATAACCGTTTTATTCGACTAAAAATAAACAGATGCACCCTCTTGGTGCTCACAATTCACCACCACCACGATAACTTAAATTTATCAGACAATAAGAATGTAGCAAATTATTAATAAATTAGAATGGCTAACGACTGGCTCCTTAGCTTAACTAAACACTAAATCGAGTGCACACAGCAAAGCGAGCCTAGAAAGATCATTATAAACTGAAAGGTGTCTAATACCAATTAGAAACCTGACTTCAAACATGCAGCATAAACATCGGAAGTAACTACGCTTGAACTACTACTCCTCGAACTCTTAAAACGCAGCTTAAATATTGGTTCTGAAACACGTATAGATAGATTAGCATATCTACTTCATCACAAATTTACATTCCGGCAGGAAACTAAAATCAGGAGGGAAAGGAAAACTAAAAATGATTGGCTAGAATAAAATAAAATCCTTACAGTAGAAGTGAGTCCAAGAGCGGATTGATAAACTATAAGATCAACGAAAGCATAAAAGAGACCTTAATAAGCCCTCTGGTGCGACGCTAAAATCTGATTTCTTTCAGATTTTTTTTCTTACCTTTTTCTTTTTTAAAATTTGCGCTCATGATTTTGGGTGGTAATTTTTCCTTTCTTCCACAATAAAAAAACTTACCCTCCCCCACCCCAAATAAGGCAGCTGTCAGTTAATCATTCATCTGCTTAATTCAATCCGGGTCAACCGGGAGCTGACATTAAAAATTAATGGAAAAAAATGACAACCAGAACAGCATTGTGAAATGCAAAAAATTCGATTAAAAATGTGCCACCACTAAAAAGAAGAACACGCAAAATAAAACTGGAAACCGTACTGTTACTCTGGGAGAGAAGTGAACTGAGATGGAATATCTTTTCTTTAGTCGCATCATAACGTTCGAACCATGAACTCTACGAGACCCTTAACTCACGCGCCCACATAACGCTGCTCCGAAAATGAACGGTGGATTACTAACAGTGTTTCCAAAGGAGGTACAAAAACCATTGTTCTTTTTGGTAATCGATATGTTCCAATTCGTATTTTGCATTTTTAACCTAGCGTGTTGGAATAGTTGTTGACTGTTTTAAGTAAAACGCCTTCGCCAACTGAAACGCCAGATAGTTATAAGCACGTATTTCCGGGTGATACCGTTGTAGCTATTGTTTTGTTTTCCTTCGTAATTTGTGCTGTTACAAAATCATTCTTGAAGGATTTCAGGTGGAATCTTTTTGTATCCATTTTTGCGGTATGTGCCTTACTGAAAGTGGATTTAACGCTGCACATTGTAAAAGAATTTTTAAACGGCTTCAGGCATCACATGCTCATTATAAATTTGGCGTACAGTTGACTCTCGAATATGAAGGTGTTAGTAGTTGCAGTGTTTTGAGAGTAATTTAGAATCCCTCGTCAAGTACTTGACAATTATTAGTCTGCTTCTAATTAAGAACCTTACTCAGAATCGCCTCCATACAAAGGTGACTGATTAAGATGCCATTTTTGAAGGTTGTCTACTAATTTTTTCTCACAATTGAGAATTAAATAAAAAATATATTTTTCTTTAAATTATTACTTCGCCACAAAACAATATGGATGACAAAATCCCTGCAAAAAACTTTTGTCACCTAGTATATATGGATGGCGGAACATCCAGACTTGTTAACATATTAACACCCGATCAAGTACATATTATATGTTTCATAAGCCACATCAATAAGGAAATTATACAGGTAATGCTTATGTTCTTTCATCTAAGCACCGCCGCAATCGCGGTGTGTAAGCGCGTCACAGTTAAATTGATATCTCAAAACAGGAAAAAAAATTAGATAACTTTGACAGGCATTTGTTTTGAGTTATCGCTTATTTATTTTTTTTTCCCTGATCCTGCATCGAATATAGTTTAAATCTGTCACACGCAAGATTTACGTTCATCTTTTCTTGTTGAAACTGGTTCTGTCTTTTGTTCTAATATCTATAATCATTCAATATATTTTTCTTTTCTTTTTCCTGTCTCAGATAACGTGATTTATTTTGGTATTTTAACATTATTTCTTAAGTTATGCGTCGTAGTCGATCAAGCTGTATTTTATTTTGTACTTTATTTCTATACTTTATTTATTTTAAATAAACAGTCATTTTGGAGAAAATGGTATTCTCTAAGCCGTTCTGTTAAAATCGTTCAATTCTACAATATGATTCGTAATTATATTCATATTTTGTTACATTTTGAATCTGTCATTCATGTCAATTGCTTTCACTTGCAGAAGCATAGCATTTACTTTTAGTAGCTATGAGACTTCTCATTTCAGCTTTGCACACAAGCACGCCATTAGCAACATATTTTTTCATGGAGTTGACTGCTCCCGTCAGCTTACGTTCGTCACCTGCATGCTCTATGTATTACAACGTATTCTGTTTTATAATAGTTTCCAGTGTGTCCAAACCACATTGTTTTTTAATATACACTTTTCATTTAAAGTTTACAAAGAAAATATCCATAAACTCAACAAACTCCATCGTGATGTCCTAATCCTGTAACACCGGCATTTAAACAAATTATGGTTTCCAAAATGGCCACTCAAATTCCATAAACGTTTTTTGGCCCAAACTATGCCGCATATCGAACTTCTACTGCTATTGCTTCAGGGACATTTTGAACATCCCAAAAAAGATCCCAATTCTCTTTAGATGCCTGGTATCTATTTCCTGAAGAAACGAACCTGTCTGTATCAAATTCACCCAGGTCTTTTAAATGTTTTGATCCAGTATCGCGTTCCTCCACTTTCCCAATTTCCAGCATCTCTGAACGATTGCTGATGATTGCCACACCTTCATCTTTGCTAATTTCAAAGACTGATAGAAACACATGAAATCGTACCATCTTCTACCCCATTGGCCTCGAAGGATAAATAAGCTGTAAGAAATTAAATCATTATATAGTATAACAATAAAGTATTATTCTGACATCATTATAGACAGAACTACTATACAAAGATAGGGACATAATTAGGGAACAGCCTTGACTTTTCTGTTGAAGATTATATGCTTAGAATGGAGTACATTTATTGAAGATATGATATTCATGTCGAAATGAAATCTAACTTAGGGTTTTTTTTTTCATTAACAGCATAAAAAGTGATCCTCTGTTACCTTGAATACATAACAAAATTTGTCGTGCCAGATTGCCTAGCAAATGTAGTCTAGTGCTCTTGCCAGGCAATCTTCCAGATTGAATTTCCAAAGACATTGCTAAATATTCTTCTAACTTGAGTTTCGCGACAGCAATTGCCAGAGGCATCTCTCCTGATGCTATGCTACATTCTTCTAAAATAATTAGCTAATATCAGCTGATAATTTAAAAGATGATTATCTCAGTTACAGCCTCCTTGTTCTTCTTCAATAACTGTAGTTTGGTTTAAGATATGATTTTAAGTAAACAAAAGAAAATGGGTTTATTTTTATATTTATTAGATTCTACAACAATCTGTCTCTCATCAGGTGATCTCAAAAATACCATCTACATAGTTACGTATATATTCTCTTTCTCTAATGATGACATATCTGTCGTAGGTCGAAAGAAGTGCGATCGGGACTGGATGTTCGAGCGTGTGAACGGTTACGAGCTCCGAGATGTAGCCCGCAGTTCCGCTATCGTCATGTCTCGTGAAGCCTGCATGGAACTTTGCCTGAATGAAGTGCAATTCAGGTGTCGATCCGCCAATTACAACCGGGCAACTGGCGAATGCTTCCTCAGCGACAAAGACAGGACATCTTTGAGTCTTACCTCTTCCAACAGATATTTCGGACCATCCAGCGAAAGCATCGATTATCTTGAAAGCAACTGTGTTGATGGTAAGTCTTTTTTTTCTACCTTACCATTTAAAAATTTCTCCTGGAAATGCTAGAGGAAAGTTATTTTTAGAACAAAATAACAATACCTTGAAACTTCCATATCTCTTATTTGAAAATAAAGCAGCCCAAAGAATATTTTATTTTATTTTAATGGGCATACCTTTAAGCAAGCTAGCCAGCAGTAAGTACGGTTATAAAGCAAATAAAGTGTTACAATACATTAAAAAATTGCCAAAACCTAATCCAGGGTAATAATATTTTCCTAACAAATGCATAAGAGATTCCATTTGAATGTACAGTTGAGTCTTTGTTCCTGTATTTATAGAAACTTATGAGTGGTTTTAGGATGATACTGAGATCATATTTCATCAAAAGTTCACGAAATGAAAATTGAATTTTCTTTTTAAAATTGTTAATGCATAGTAATGCAAATGTTAATTTATTATAGGCGATGTTTTAGATTCAAGAACGTCAAATGCATGATCACGGTTGTTAAGCTATTTGAGAAATAATGCACTCTTTGTATACTCCCAGAGAAATTTATACTTCTTTAGACTACGAAGAGAATGAATGCTCCATCGGTAAAACCTTGATGTTCTTTGTTGTTCATTTCTTGATGTTGCTAAATCCAAAACCGAGAAATATTTTAAGAAACTTCTTGATAGACGTTGGATTATTAAAATCCCTGAAAATAGCTGATTAATTTTTGGTATCATGTAGAGTCTGAGTAGATTCAATATTTTGTTGAGCAAGTACAGTAAAGACCTTCTTGTTGAGAGAATAAATTCTGACTGTGGATATGATTTCCTAGGTTGACAAAAAAATGGTTTCATTGGTGTATTTCTTGTATTCTATTGCTGTCTTCTCAAATGACATTTTCCCCCTCTGTGTAGTATAGTGGTAGCTCGGTACTTTTCCAATAAGAAATAAAGAAAAAATAATTATCCGGTCTTATTAAAAAATTCTATTGTTATCATTATAACATTGTTTAATACTAAAATACAAATACAGTGCGTGGAATACATGCTGTACATAAATGAAGCACAGTACATGATACTATACATAAATGTTTTTCTGCTATCAGATCAAAAGCAAATTTTAACATGCTCTAACGTCTCTGATCTTTGTTTGGAAATCGATTACACTCCCTTCCCGATGTTAGCCGATTTAATAGTATCATTGTATTCCAAAATCATAAACACTTTCGTACAAGGCATATGGTATGCAACAGCTAAGTCCCAGATACGCATGCCATCCTCGTACTTTTCAAAGTCTCCTTTTTCACCTCCGTGGCAATCTTAACAATTTTCTTCGTTAGTTGACTTTTCTCATTAACTTTCCTAATACTGTTAAATTAATTTACAAAACATTTAAAAAAAAAAAAAAAAAAACATAAAGTCACGTGAAATTCCGAGCTGTGGCTCGGGTTGTTTACTGAATAACGTTCATGGGCAGTCATAGCATTTGTCTCAAAAGAAATAAACAAGTGTAGTGCCCTTAGTAGTGATTCATCGCATTCGAGTCTTATTCCAAGCAATATCGTATACCAAGCAAAAATTTTCGCGTCTAAAGAGGACGTCTACTAAGTTGAACGTATTTCAAATCGGACTGCCAAGATTCCAGGGTATATAAATTGTTTTTGAAATTATGTCTCTATTTGATCTTTGTTGTAAATAATTATTTTAAAATATATACACGTGAGTGAGTATATCCATTTGGGTATATGGGTCACCTTAGATAAGCTTATTTAAACAGTTTAGCACATTCACATATACTGCCAGAAAGATAGAATCGAATTCAGTGCTATCGATTCAGTTCGAAAAGAAGAATTCTGTTAGTTACAGTATTTCCTCTTCTTTTATTTCATATCTGTGAAAGGATAACACGTAACAAAGGTTAACAAAAGCCACTGTGACAAAAATATTTTTATGGCCGTCTCGTTCCAGCTGACACATTCTAAATACCCAATGCCTTGAAAAGTTTCAGCTTGTCAATTTCTAGGAAAAGTTCAGCTGAAAGACTTTGAAAGAAAATCTAGAGGAACTTTCGTGAAATATCTTTTGTGGTCGTACTTACTCCAATGAAGTTTATATATCCCCAAACTTCACCTGTTTATTAGAAACTGATGTGGGACATCTGAAGATCTACAGGAAGACAATATGAGTTCTAACAAAGATAGCATTGAAGACGCAATTACATTTTCCGGTGATGGTTCCTTACTCCAGTGACATTGTTTCCCGAGAACTAAATTGCGTGCGGAACCCTATTTTAATGCAAAATTCCGAGCATGATATCTCACCTTTTAGCCCGGTGACATTTATATCTGGACGATGGCATCGCGTGAGGGTCTACTTCTATGTCTTGTAATTTCTTTGCTTCTAATTCCGACTCTCAAAAAAAAGTACAAGAACAAAAAGAAAGGCATTTGGTGTAATCTAGAGATTCCTTTCTGTTTGGGTGATTAAGGCGCCTCCTGGTGACTAGGTCGCGCATTTACGGTCCGGTGCGCTTTCATCTGGCCAAGAGGCATGCTCCATTAAACGCGCTGCCGTGTGCCCACTTATCTGCATCTTAATCGGAATCGTGGGTGGGATTTTATTCGAGCTTTAATTGTACAAACTTTAGATATTTCTTACCGCTTCGGTTACAGTTATAAATGAAGCTACAAAGTTCTTGAATCGGAGGGGGGGAAGACGAATAAGATATTCAATAGCGGAAGTTAAGGTAGAAGTGATCAAATAATGTGCGAAGTTAAATGAATTACTTTGAACACTTACTACTGCTGGAAACTGTAACTGAATCTTCCGCTTTGGAACTCGAGAAACTGTAATAATTAATTGATAATTGTAATTAGCTTTTTCTTTTATTTCGTTCCTGGCTTCTTCATCAACGATGGAGAGAAAGAATTACCAGACTTCGACGTGTATTTGACTGTTAGTTATATAAATTCCATCTCAGTATTTGAAAGCCAGAAAGAGGAAGTCTATGGTATCGTAATATTTTCTGGCACACTCCAAACAACAGCGGTTGCATCCATCAAACTTTTAGTGACCAATGTTTTAAAATTATATAATAAAAAAATCATGAAAGATATTTTTACACTGAATTAAGAATTCAAAGAAAAAGGGTTGTTTGTAACTACAAATTACTAAAACGTGTATTGTCTGTTAGCGCAATGAGCTGTTGATACTGAAGTTATTATTACTGTGTGACAGTTTTCGAGTTTTATCCTCATTTCACTGATCTTGTCAGGATATGATGAGTGCAGATTTTCTCCCGCTCAGAGTACATATGATCTGTTTGCACGTTTGTGAACTAGCTCACGTTTGTGGTCAGTCAATAGTCCAAAGTGCAGAATTAGTTAATAATATGAAATGCGTTTAAAAGAGCCTTTGAATAAGCAGTAGGACATAATCTGGAGACTGGATATGTTGGATCAGGAGGTTGTGTTGAAGTAAGAATTAGTCCTGCAGATATTAGGTGTTTATCAATATGCAGTTTACAGGATTTATTAGTCTAAATTAACATTTTAAGAATAAATTTTAATTTTATAACCTGTTATTTTATTTTAATTTCGTTTCCTATGAAGCTTCATTTTATTTCCCTGCCAGAATGCAAATTTCTAGCGAGCGCGATATTCAAATTAGGTAGCAAGAAGGAAATATTTAAAGGAAGATTTTGAAGGGTAAAATCAGAGCGTGTTTTGCTTGCTTGAAGGTCAAGTCGCTAACTTTGATTCTCTAGCGTTTATAATTCTGCGGCGTCGAGTGGTCCTTGCCATTAGGCTTGTTTAAGCCGACTTCGGTCAGAGCTAGTTTACACGCTAGTTAAACTGCGAAGCCGTTAGGCTATACTTAAACTTAATTGATTTATTGATTTTAAGTTTATCCATTATGTTTGATTTAAGCAAAAATGTTGGCTTCCCTAAGTATGAGTTGGTGCCGTCTGTTAAATTTTATTTGTAACAACAAGAGAGTCCTTTTTACACCTTTCTTCTGACTCTGTTGTAATTTTAGACATAGTGATAAGTAGCTTACGTCGATCAAAGGTTTTGGTCACAGATTACTGTCAAACAATTTTGGCCATTTTCAGAAAACGAAGGTTTCATCAAAATATCCAAATGGTCTCCAAGATACCACAGTCAGCTCAAACCTTCCTCCTTCCTTAGCTTCAAAGCTTAACGTCGAATTAACACTTTACAATTATTTTTCAAGTAGTTTTTAACAGCAGTTACATTACATTAAGATCAAGTGCTCCCGAAAATTACTTAAATTTAATTTTAGCCAACTCCCTATTTTACAATTTATGAAAATATGAACTAAAAATGCTAACAACTTTGCCAAAATAAAGCAAGAACTATTTACATTACAAGAACATTTCAGTTCAGTAAACAGCCGCATGTGTTCTGTCGTCTCGTATTTTAAACAACGTTGAACCTTTTAATAATTACAGAGCAATAAATTCGACACAAAATTTTTAAATTAAAACTTTATCAACAATAAGTAAGACCTTCAGCAGATTCTTAATACCGAAGTCACACTAGCCACAAAATAACGAAGCTAGTAATAATCGTTGTTGGCATCAAACAATTGTTAATCGTACTTTTGTAGCACTTGCTGTGGGTTCCAAATTACTTTGCTTTGTCAATTACCATAAAAATAAGGTATTACGTTGAATCTGTGCAGTGAATTATCACCACCAGGATATCTAACCATTAAACAACCAGACACAGAATTAAAACACTTCAAGTTTATTTCACCTCTCCACTTGTGTTCAAATTAAAATATACAAACATAAAATTTCTAACCAGCTTGGACCTGGTTTCAGCACTCCGAAATGGTTAAAAATGAACAATTTTAATCTAACTTTAATGAGACTACAAGTGTACCTCGATCGCAGTAGAAATTCAAACACACACTTATTAAAATAGGATCTACCCTCAATTTCAGGTCTTCGCAGTTTGACCAGCATTAGCTTCGTCAGCAGACTTTGTTAAATTC